GCCCCTGGAGGCCCCAGGCAAAGTGGGGGAACACTTCCCCAGAGGCAGGGTGCCCCCCCACACACACACAAGATGCTGGCTGGGGCTGCGGGGGCCCGGCCCTGGAGGAGAGGGCAGCTCCCCTGCGGGACCTCCCCAGAAGGGAGTCTGTGTGCTGAGGCTGCTGCATCAGGATGGGGAGAGGCCTGAGCTCAGCCTGGGATGACCCCACTCGCTCCTCCCTGACCCTGTCCCCTAGTCTGAACCAGACACTCAGCTCCCCCCTCCCCCACAAGGATCCCGCAGTATCTCTGGCTCTGAGGACCGAACCGAACTGTTTCCCAATTTGATAAACACCAAGACAAAGTGCGGAAGAAGGTGCCTGGGGCCTGGGACCTCGGACCCGGCATCGGGCTTGGACCGCAGGTGCTCCTTCTGCTTCCCACCCCACCCCCACCCCCGACAGAGCAGGGGAACACCCCCCATGCTCCTGCCTGCGCCCCAGCGTTGTCGGGCAGAGATGGAATCAGGTGTGTGCATGGGTCAGCTGTAAGGTGCTCACAAGCTCAAGCAGCCTATTTGAGACGAGCGGTGTCAACCAGCCGCAAAGGCAGCTGTGGGAGCAATCGCCCTGCGTGCTGATCCGGGTCAGGTGGGGCCTCCACACCCAGCGCAGGGCCAGCCTGCTCCGGCCTTCCAGAGCCTCCATCTTCCTTCCACCCGGGAGGGGCTGAGCCCTCCCACCATCAGGATTTATTCCAGATCGGCTGTCCTTGCTCACACCCACCACCTCCCTCTTCCTTGAAGCTGGAACCTGTCAGATGGAGAGACACATAGGAGAGAACCAGCCTCTGGTTTGGGGACCCACTGATCCCCCAGCCTCCCCCTCCCCTCTTTGACTGCAAGATAAGGCCCAGGGCACAGGGAGGCAGAGCAGGTCTGAGATGCTGGAACCGTAAAGAGGCAGTGGCCTGGAGCCTGCTTCCCACCCACCGCTCACCCTGGGGGTTCTCTGAGCCTGGCTTTTTTTAATTTTATTTATTTATTTATTTATTTATTTTTTTACAGAGAGGAAGAGAGAGGGATAGAGAGTCCGAAACATCAATCAGCTGCCTCCTGCACACCTCCTACTGGGGATGTGCCCACAACCAAAGTACATGTCCTTGACCAGAATCGAACCTGGAACCTTTCAGTCCACAGGCCGACGCTCTATCCACTGAGCCAAACCGGTTAGGGCTCCTCCCTCCACTTTTTAATGTGTGCAGACATTCTCTCGCCATCAGAGACCCCAGTCCATTTGCACACGCACAGTCACACAATCAGTCACTCCAACACACTATCACTCATTCACTTCCAGAAACAATCTGGCAGGCTTGCGTGCACTCACATAAACACCTTCTCACACACTTCTACACAGACATGAGCCCTCACCCACACGCACACTGAGTTGCACACACACACACCCTCAGGCACTCATGCTCATGTACACACACACACACACACACTCATCCTTCGACTGCCAGGCCAAGCCCTTTATGCCCCAGGTCTGGCCAGCTCGGGGGTGCCCCTCCAGCTCATCAAGCACCTGATCCCTTGTGCCTCCCCCAGGCCTGGTCTCCAGAAACATCCAATATTGGGGACCCTGCTTTAGCCCTTCGATTCCTGAGCTCCCATCTACCCAGTCAGCACCCACCTTTGTGTAGAATCTAGAACTGGCCAGAACCACCCAGGCCTGTGGGGCAGGAGGCTCCAACCTGGGACCTGGGTCCTGCCTGCCCCCCACTGTCTTGAGCCTGAGCCCCCAGCCCAGCCCGTCCACCCGCCCCCTGCAGGAGGGGCCTGGAGAGAGCACCTGGGGACACCTGTGCTCGGTGTCCTCATCGGCGAAAAGAATGTGGCCATCCCATCCCACGCCCAGAATGGCGGTCAGGAGCTCCCACATGACGAGGGAAAGGCTCTGTCAGCTGGAAAACATCGTGTCCAGCCTGGGGGTTAGTCATGCCTTCCCTCTGGCCACCCCTCCTCACGGCGTCCTCGGGAAGCAGACCCAGGGCGGCCACGTCAGAGCTGCAGCATCACGGGAGACTCCATCCACACACGACCCACCCACTGTCCAGGAGAGCCTGGGTCCGCGGCTCCAGATACCCTGGGTGTGGCAGGAAGGGAACTGGGAGCCTCTTCTCTTTGGGATGAAACGCCTTCACCTGACTGGCAGGTTCTCTGGAGACACGGGGCCCTGGGAGGGGTCGAGTCCAGCTAGAACCCCTCTGCCTTAGGGTCAGGGTTCGAAGGATTCTCGATCCCCTATTTTTCACATCAAGCCACGAAGGGGCTCCTGCGAGGCCCCCTCTCTCCTGGGAGCGAGGACAGACATGGCTCCACCAGCCAGAGGCCACTCAGGCGGCCCGCTGGGTGGGAGGTCCTTCTGGCCCAAAAAACCAGACTCGGGGAGGGCCTGAGGGCAGTCCATGGAGAAGTGGGAGGCACCGAGGCAGTGCCAGAGCCCAGAGCCTGGAGCCCACCAACCAGGGAGGAGGCACTAGCCAGAAGCTGGCTCAGCTGGTTGCCTGCAGACCGCCCCAGGGGCAACCTCAACTGGGAGGCTGGGGATGGGTGGAGGCCCCACATCCAGGTTCAGGGTGGAAAAGGCACAGATGAGGGCAGCCTTCAGTGCAGGAAGGAGGGCAGATCACAGTCAAAGGAAGAGAGGAAGAAAAGGAGAGAGATGCCGAGGCTGGTTTGGCTCAGTGGATAGAGCGTCCATCTGTGAACTGAAGGGTCCCGGGTTCAATTCCGGTCAAGGACATGTACATTGGTTGTGGGCACATCCCCAGTAGGGGGGTGTGCAGGAGGCAGTTGGTCGATGTTTCTCATCGATGTTTCTAGCTCTATCCCTATCCTTTCCTCTATGTAAAAAATCAATAAAATATATTTTTTAAAATATTTTTTAAAAATAAAAAGGAGAGAGACAGACAGGGCTTGGTAGAGAGATGGAGAGAAAATATGGCGATAAGGACAGGAAAGTCAAGTCCACAGTCAGCCAGAGAGCAGACCAAAGGGGAGAAGGGAAAGTAATGGCAGCCTGGAGGGCTAAGGACCCGTCTGGACAGAGCATCAGAGAGGTGCAGAGCCAGGGGACCAGGAACGGAGGGAAGAGAGGGGAGACAGAGAGAAAGGCTGGGCCAGTGGAGCGATAAAGGCCGGACAGAGAGCCAGCGCTGGATCCAGAGCAGGGAAGGGAGTGAGGGTGAGAGGCAGCGTGAGAGGCTCTAATTATGGGCGGGCGGCGGGTGGAAGCAGAGGGCAGCCTGTTTGAAGTCTGTGGTGAGAGGCATCAAAGGGAGAGGAGGGAGGCCAGCAGGGCGAGGGAGACAAAGGAAGGGCCACCCTCCGCTCAGGCCCACCTGGACCTCCCGTTCCCACCGGTCCCGGCCCCCAGCCCTCCTCCACCAGCTGCTCGGGACTGGCCAGCGGTCTGAGCCACCTCATCATGAGCCTGGGACTCAGGGTCCGTGGGACCTGCTGCCCTCCCAGCATCCTCAGGGGCATGACAGGCTGCTGGCCTCAGGGACTGCCTCTCTTGGGGACCAGCGTGGACTTCCCTCATGGTGCCTACAGCTATAAACTTCCCGTCTCCCCGAAAATGTGTCCTGGCGTCTCCCAGCCCCAGCACCACTCTCGATTCGCCTCGGTTCCAGAAAACTCCATCTGGATTCGCAACTCCCACCCAAGCAAGGGATGGCAGGCTCTTGGCTGCAAGGGGTGTCCCAGGGTGACCTCTAACCACCTCCTCCTCAGGCCAGCAAGTCAGCTGTGCCTGGATCACCACAGGGTGGCTTCTGGCTCCTGCAGAGGACTTCTCTTTGCGCCCTCCCTCTTCTGCCTGCTCCAGCCCACACCCCTCCAGGCCAGAAAGTCCTCTGGTGGTCTCGCCCAGATCCTGCCTGCGGCCTCTTCTTTCAGATAAAGGCCAGCGAGCCTCTACACAACAGCCCCAGAAACGCTCACAGGTCCCTACGAGGGCCCTTCTCCCTGTTCTTGAGCTTTCTCCTTCCAGCTGCTGCTCTTTGGGCTCATTCTCCCCAGCTGGACCTGCCAATTCCGGGGGGAGGGGGGGTGAGGGGAGAGGAGGTGTGGCAATGGGGCAGAGAAGCCAGGCTGACTTGAATAGGAATCCTGATTTTATGGCCTCCTAGATGGATAATGCTGGCATATTCTTTACACTTTCTGAGCCTCAGTTTCCCCATCTGTAAAACGGGTGCATGCTCCCTACCTTGAAAGGATATTGTGGAACTTCAATGTGATCATGGAATGTGAGGTGCTTGGCATTCAGCAGTCACTCAATGCAAGAGAGTCCTAGAATGGTCATGGGAAGCAGTCCCACAGGGGAAGGTTTTCCCCAAGAGAAAGGCACAAGAGGTCCTCTGGGAGCAAAGAATAAACCCAGCACCTGGGAAGGGACAGAGAGATGATTCCACAGCCCACCCCATCCCTCCCCGCATTAAGCACACTCTGTCCCTGGCATCTCACCTCCACGTGTCCCGTTACAGCTTCCCCTTGCCCCTCAAGCTTGGAGGACCAGGCCAGCGTCCCCCCTCTGTGGTCAGGGCAGTGGGGCTGCTGTCAGTGTGTTATATTGTCAGCACCACACCACCTGGAGGAGGCAGGCTAGTCTCTGTGACTTTGGGTCCCTCCAGCATTGACTGAGTCTCAGGGAAGCTGAAGGAACAGCCCCACGACCCCAGGGAAGGGGTGAGCCCCCCAGAGAACCACCGCTCTCCGTCTGTGCTCTGTATCCGACGGGGAGGAGACCCCGCGCCGCCCAGCATGGGGGAAGGTGACGGCAGGCTTGGGAGATCAGAGATGGACACCCAGGATGTCCACATACTCTGACCTCAGACCTCACAGGAGTGAGCCAAACCCACCTTCGAATGTGACATAAACCAGGTTGCAACCAGGCAGAGTCTTGTACATGTTTCCATAACATGGTCTCTCCATCAACCCAGAAAACAGAGCGGACCCAAACCGTTCCTTTCCAAAGGCTCCTCCAGTCTCCCAAATCTCTGCCACAAACCCACCAACACACCTATTCACCACTCTCCCATCCATCTCCACCCTTCCACTCATCCTGCCTTCCACCTGGCCATCTTCCCTGCCTCCAGCCAGCCAGCCAGCATCTACAACCACCTTACAGTGTATCCATTCAACCACTCACGCATATATCCGTTTACCTAAATACCCACCCCGTCCATTCACCCACCCATCCAAGCGCTACCCACTCACCCACCCACATGTCCACCAGCTCACTTACCCATCTACTACCAACCCACACACACATGCATCCTCCACCCTCTCACCCGGGCCTTCTCCCTCTGCTCCGTACGTATGCACCCCCTCAAATCCACATGTCCATGTCCATGTCCATGTCCATGCAGTGACTCCACGGCAGCAGCCAGGCCCCTGCCCACACACCCATGGGAGGGACGGGCTGGTGCTTCCCTGCCTCCACCAAAGGCTGAACCGAAGGAGACAGGCCCCACTACACCTACAGGATAGCGTTTTGCTGGGAAAGATTAGAATGGAGGGATCTGCAAGAACAAAGCAGACGCTAACCCATTTGGCAGGAAGAGAAGGGAGTTCCCACACATAACCCCCAAAGCACAGCATGGACTGCAGGAACTGTCTGCGGAATGGGGCCCTGGTTGCTTAAGGACGGGGTGTGACTCAGGGAGGGGCCAGGTCATCTCACCCAGCTCCCACTGGCCTGTCTCCATTCCAGAGTTTCCCAAGACGGCAGACTCCTCAGGGGTGGCAGGGATGGGTACCGAGTGGGTAGGGGCCCAGCCACGGGAATTATGAGGGGTTCACATACACAGTAGTGTCCAAAGAGACCCCTCGGCAGGAGCAGGCCTTGTTTGCTGTGGCCGGTGGCTGGGTGCCCGGCTGCACATTCACATGCCCTGTCACACCCAGAGTCACACACACACACACACACACACACACACACACACACACGAGTTCCATCCTGGACCCATTACTCGCCAGCTGTGTGACTTTGGGGAACCTCTCAGAGATCCGGTCTGAGCACCTCTGGAACAGGAGAAGGAGCTATGCCCGCCCTCCCTGCTGAGAAAACCCACTGAGCGTAAACATGAGAGAACTGAGAGAACCATGTCTAGTTTTGCACAAGACAAAGAAAGCACGAATCTCAAAGCCTCTGAGTCCTGAGGTGGCGACGCTCACCGTCTGAGTCTCACTCCCTGACGGAAGCAAAGCCCCAGGTGGCTCTGCAGAAACACAACCAACAGCCCAGACCCAAGGCCATCTCCAAGTCCCCTCTGACCCCACGCTGAGACCACAGCCTCCCGCTCCCTGCTGGGCTGAGCCCTCCCCAGAGGGGAGCCGCTCCCTCTCGCCTGCTCTCCGTGCTCGTGGGCCTGACTGGTCCTCCCCCAGGAGGGCAAAGGGAAGGAATGGACGGTCAGGGCTGCTGCCATCGGTGTGGGAGGAGGGCAAGGACCAGGAATGAAATATCCAAAGACAGGGGTGCCCACAAAGATGCCAGCCTGCCAAGCACATGCTGGAGGGCCCGGGGGGAGGGGGAGGGGCTGGCCAGCAGTGGAAGGTGTGTGTCTGAAAGGTGTGGGTCCCAGGACCCACTTTTCAACGGGCTGCATCTCTGCCTCCACCACGATGCACGAGGCAACACACACACACACACACACACACACACACACACACGGAGGGGGGCCTGGACAGGCTTTGATGAGGGCACCAACTCTGAGCTGGGCGGTGGTGGTGCCAGCCGGGTGGGCTGGCAAGAGGTGGGGAGAGGGCGGTGTGGGCCGCTAATCCCCCCAGCGTCTCCCAGACGCCCACAGAGACCGGGGTGAGCTCTTTGTCTGAGCGGAGACGACAGAGGGGCGGCAGGCGGGCGGGCGGGCTCCTCCTCTCCCTGCCGCCAGCCCGGGACAGGTAGAAGCCTGCCGCCTGTGGGGATGGTCGGAGGGAGTGGGGCTGAGAGGATTAGGGGAGAGACAGGCGCTTACAACGGGTAGGGCTCCCTCCCTCAGTCTCAGAGGGCCTGTGGCTTTGGGGTGGGGGGTCCCCGGAAGGGCAATGGGGCACGACCCTCAGCGGGAGCAGGCCTTGTCTGCAGAGGCGGGGGGCGGGGAGCCCAGCTGCGGTCACATGCTCCGTCACACCCAGAATCACACACACACACACACACAGCCAGAGCCCCAGCCATGCAACCACGCGTGTTTCCTCACAGCTGCACACATAGGCCACGTCCAGGCGGACAGTCACGCCGCCTTGCGAGCTCATAGCTGTGCTGTCTGAACCAGCTCTGGGCCCTCAGCTAGCCCCACCCTCACAGGCTGCCCCCAAAACAGTATGCTAGGGCCACTCACTGCCCCAGGCCCCCACCACGGAGCAATGCCACGGTCACCGTGGGCCATCTCACACCTGCATTCCATCAGAATCCCGCCACACAGCCATGCCACAGTAGGTCCGGCACCGGCCCCGTCTCACAGCACCCAGTGGGTGCCCCCTGCCCAGCACCGCAAGGCGCAGGTGCACCCCTCGGCACCACACAGCAGCCTCTCTGAGCCTGTTTCTTTTTCTCTTGTGTGATCTGCCCCCCAACCCTCCCACCTTCTCCAACACCGATGCCCACACATGTCAGTCTCCTTACAGAGAAGAGAAAGTTCACCCCTTGCTTCCTTAGAACCCTGCCCCTCTCCTGCCCCTTGGGATTAAGAGCAGGTCCCCAGACTCCCAGGCCAGGGCCAAGCGCCAGGAACAGCCCCCACGCCACGGGCACGCTGGTCGCCCCCAGCCTGCCCCCCTCCCATACCTGCAGGAGCCCTCAAGCCCCCGAGGCTGTCAGCCCTCGGTTGCCCTGGCTGGCATCACCGCTCCCCGCCCCCGCCCCCGGCCATAGAGACGGGCAGGGTCACCTCTGCCCCTTCTCCTCCCTGACCCCGTTCCCTGCCCCGAAGCCCGTGTCCCCTGCAGCCCGGGAGCCCGGTGTTGGCAAGCCGGGTCCCCCGTGGCCAGCGCCTCCGAGGATGAAAGACCTCTGGCTCCTCCAGAAACCAGGGCTAAATATACCCCTCACCAGCTTTCTTGTGTCTAACGAGAACCAGCTGGGCCCGACCCACCCTTCCGCCTGCAGGACAGGCCGCGGGCCGTCAGCCGATGGACAGACCATCCGTCCGTGGGCAGCTGCCCGGGAGCCCTGCCCGCGGAGCGGAGAAGAGAGCGTGTCGCTCAGCACCCCCTCCCCGACTCCCCTGACAGAGGCTCCCCGAAGCAGACCGGTGAGAGCAAGCCTGGCTCGTGAGGAGCCTCAGTTTTTCCATCTGCAAAATAGGGATGGCACAGCACTGACGTCATAGTGCTACTGTGCATTAGCACAGGTTCAGTGCTGACGGCACCTGGCACACAGTGAGCACCCAATGCATGCCGCTCGTTACTATGAAGCTTCGGGGCACTTCCCAGGGGGCCGCGCTGCCCCCATCTTGGACACACAGAGATACAGGCTCGGGGCTAGCCAGCCACCTCAGATCAGCAGGGCCGGGGGTGCGGGGCAGAGGGACGGGCCAGTGTGAGGCAGATCAGTGAGGGGCGCAGGGAGGGGTCAGAGGAGCCCAGGCCTGGCCCCCATCCGCCGGCCTGAGGCCCGGCCACGTCCCGGCTCCCCTCCCCCGCCAGGACTCCGCCCCAGGCTGTGGTCTGCGCTGTGGCTGCAGCTCCCACGCTGGGCCCAGTTTAGCGGCTCCAGCCCGCGGCCCCAGCACAGCCCACTCTCCGGCCCTGTCCAGAGGCCTGAAATAGGAAGGAAGAGGGGCCTAAAAATAGCCCTAATTACAGAGGGGGCCCAGGGGGTGGGGGGCGGCGGCTCCTCTCTGGCTCCTGGGCACTGCCACAGCCGGCTCAGGATCCTGCTCAGGCCCTGGGGAAGGGACCCCACCCTGGGCCTCCCGTCCCAGCCCGCAGCAGGCCTCCCAGGGGGACAGAGAGTGAGGGGGTGGGGTGGGGGTGGGGGGGGGGTCAGAGCTTAGCCCAAGTGGATCCCCTCCTCTGCCTCCAGGGCTGAAACCGCCCACCCTCTCTGCTCCCCATTCCTGAGGGTCACTGGGCAGCTCCTGGCCTGAGAGCATCCAGAGCGGGCATTGCCCTCGCTCAGCCTGCCTAGCTCCTGCCCTGCCCCCCTCCCCCACTCCCCCAGGAAGCCTGCCTTGACCAGCTCCACCTAGCTCTGGCCCAATACCAGCCAGGACTCCTGGCACCTCTATCTCCCCCATTCATTTGGCTCCTGGGGGACCCCCCTCCCCCTGGGGTTGTGTTTACCCATCAGCCTGGGGGCTCCCAGAGGGCAGAGAGGGGCCGCCTTCTCTACGTTTCAGAGGAGACAGAACATGGAGATGCACAGAGAGACCCAAGGAGGGGAGGGAACCCGGTCCCACCTGGGACAAGTGACTGCTCTCTGGGCTTCCGTCTCCTCCTGGGTGGAGTGGGATGCTAACCAGGAGGAAGTGCTGTCCTGTGTCTGAACGCCCAGGTCGGGATGTTCCCCTCAGGAGAGACGAGAGCATCCGCAGGGAGCTGGGCGCTCCTGGCCCCCTCCCTGGCCCTGCCCATATTTTGCTACTTGTTTTCCTCTATGTTTAAACTCACAGGAAGGCGTTGGACAGGGTGTGGGTGTTGTGAGGGTTAAAGGTGATTAATCATCCAGGGCTTTTGGGGCGGGTAACCGGGCATGGAGGGACACGTGAGGCACTGGTGCCACCTGGTGGCTACAAATAGCAATGCTGGCCACCGTGTTGGGAGGGAGGGAAAGCTGGGAGAGGGGTGTAAAAGGGAAGGAGGGAGAAAGAGAAAGGCATAAGGGAGAGAGGAGAGGAGGAGGGGAGGAGGGAGTGCGGTAGGAGAGAGGGGGTCATGGGCCTCCAGCAAGAGGGGGGATGCTGAAGATGGGGTCCTCTCACGTGTTGCCCAGGACCAGGGAGACTGGCTCACGCCCCAAGACACTGGACGACAGCCTTTCAGAGGCTCCCAGAGGCCACAGAGGCCCCTTAGAACACGGCTCTGAGCTGTGAGGCCTGAAGGCCAGGAGGCCGAGATC